CTGAAATATTTCTCCCTGTGAGACCTCTTTCCTTCAGAACATTTGTATAGAAGGGAAATACTTTGCTTTTCCTGCAGTCTTCAAGTTTTTAGTGCTTTTTGTGAGTGTGGTGCTTCTGAAAGGCGCCGGGGAGGGGCTGCTTTAGGAAAGCCTTTATTTATCCCGGTGACGTACAGGACTAACAGCAGTGGAAATTTCCTGGTGCTCTGGGCCAGTGCCTGGATCTCGTCTGAAACCATTTCTGAGGCTCAGACCCTACCGAGATGGGACAAATTGCTGCTCTTCTGAGAATGTTTTCCTGTGCTTTAGGTGGTTTCCCCCCGTTATCCTCTTCAGAGGTCACAGAGCAGCGGCGGCAGCAGCAGTTGCTGCACACGTGGGTGGATTCAGGTGGATTCCTGGGATGGGCTCCACGTCAGAGTACCGAGAATCCTCCCATCTTCTGTCTGCCTGGAAAATTGTGGCATTAAATCTGATTCCTACATTGTAGCAACCAAATGTTTCAGCCTCCCAACTCTGTCTGTGTGGCAGGAAGGGCCCTGGAGGTTTTTTTCCTGTTTCAACCTGCTTGCCTCACTATTGCTGTTGTAAAATCCTCTCCATGGACACTTGTAAGGGTTTAAGACCATCCTACTCATGAGAATTCCAATGAGAATTTCCATTCGGGGTCCAGAAAAAACTTTATTAACACAGTTCTTTCATCCCCAGTGTGTCCAGAAGTGCTCTTCTGAAGTGATCAGAAATTTGTCTTCATAGTTGCACAGATTTTTTTCATGGCTGAGAGTAAAATGCAATGAGCTTGAAATATAGCTGCATAGAGCTCAGCAGCCAGCTTCTCTCTAAATTAAAGAGTCCATTTTAAAGAATAATAATAAAAAAATAATTAACACAAGAATGCATGTTTGCAGCCCTATTAGTCGGAAGCAAGTGAGGTAATGAGGAAGATTAAAATCAGTGCTGGCCTTTCCTCTGAGAAGTTTATGGGCATTTAATGAATTTAAATGGGAAAAGGAAGCTGGTAATTGAATTGTTAGTTGGAACTTTATTCAGCAGGGAGTGAGTGATTTCTGTTGGCTTTCACTGTTGTGCTCCCCTTTGTCACCTCAGCCTGTGTACTGGGAGCACTGGATCTGTATTTATGTAACTGGGAAAACATGAGAAGTGTGTTATTGATTCCATTGATTGGAAACACGTAATTAGCACCGAGAAAAAGATGAGCTGGATGGGAATCATGTCATGCCCAACAATTACAAGGGAATGTGTGAGGAAAAAAAGGGATTCTTGCTGGAAACTCTGACTGGGTGATTTACATCAGTCCATACAGACAGAGAACAGCAGAGCAAAGTGAGCCCCAGCCCACACAGCTGGCAGGGAAAATGCTGCAACATGAATTAATTTTCATTAAAAAGGTGTGTGAAGCAGCAGGAGGAACAACTGCAGCTCCCTGCAGATGGAAAGGGCAGTGGTAGGAAGGCACCAGCAGGGAAAATGCTGCAAATTGGTGCTGTGGAGAAAAGGCAAATGAATTTACCCTGTCAGCTGGGGGAGGTTGCTCTTTATCGTAGGCTGTGTGTAGCTAATGTGGATGGGCCCTTGTGGCTTCGGGGATTGTTAGTTTGGTTTGGGTTTAGCACCTGAAAACCCTTGGAAACTACTGGAAAAATGTTCCAACTGTGAGCTCTCTGGCCACTGACATCCCTGCAGAGAAACCCGAAGGAACTTTTCCCTCCTCACAAAGGTCAGCCCGCTCGCCACAAAAACAACAGATGTTGAAAGGAAGCCATCGGAAGATGTAAGATTTCAACTGGCAGCAGGGGAAGATGCGTTGCCAAAATGTGTCTTTGCTTTGTGTTTCTGAAAGCCTCGGTTCCTCCTGGTGGGAGACATCCCTGTTTGGCCCCTGCACAGACACACTGGGTTACATTTGATCTGCTGTGGTGCAATCGGAAGGCTCGGGCTTAAAAAAAACTGGCCCGTGGAGCAGATCCAGAGCAGTTGGCCCATGGAAAGCTCTGCACTGCTCTGCTTTTAGCACTACTGGGGATTTTGGAGGTGTGGCAGTGAAGGAATCAGGTGAGGCTCTTTTGCAATGGGGATTTGGCCCCTGGAATTCCCAAATGCAGGGGTTTTTGTCTGTATGTGAGCATCCCAGGAACTAAAGGTACTTCACAGAGCCCCGTGTGCACAAGAAAAGTTTAAGGAAAAAGAGATTTTGGTAAAAGGGATCTGTGGGAATAACTGCAAAGGCAGAATTTCAAGGACAATGGGAGAGCAGATGTGAGTTCTCACTGAGGGCACGGGATGGTTCCCAAACTCTATAATTACTTTGTAATAAGTTGTACAGGATCCCATTTAATTATGGGACATACGTGCAAAGAAAGGAGAAGCATTTTGTGAATGCAGTGGCCAGAGGAGGAGAGTAATTGAAATGTTAATTCTAATCATATGCTATACTCATGCATTGATTTTTTAATTCACGCTATCCATTAATTAGTTAATGCCTGTAAAGCACATTGAAGATAGAAAATGACTGTGGACTATTGTTACCGTCGTTATGCACTAAATTAATTAGTTCCTGCAGGTTTTAATTGGATTATTGAGATGTAAACTTAGCGGATCTGATTCCAGAGCAAAGGCTGTCCTCGGAATCGTGGGGAAGGGAGCAGCTGCAGTGCCCCCACACCCAGATCAGAACTCTGGCTTCCCTGTGCACATGGATACAGAAATCTTCTTAGGCTGGTCCTGTGTGAGCTTCCCTCTGCCCTGGAGTGCTCTGGGGTTAAGCCCAGCCTAGGACACGTTCAGCCCAGCCTGGTGATGGGGTTGCTGCAGAAGGGGCTGAGCAGTGATTTATGTCCCTGGAAGATGAGGAACAAGAAGATTAGAGCACAAAGATGAGAAGAGTCTCAGTTTCCCTGTGGGGCCAGCACATTTCTGTCACCCTTTGAAGAAGGGGAGTTGTCTTTAAACCAACAGCATCTTTACCAGGATCTGGTTGTAGTTTTTTCCTTTTTTCTTTCTCTGTCTGTAATCATGATGAAACCTGACAACTTTGTCCTTCCTTCTTGTCCGAGCTTTGGAAGGTTGCATGGAAAATAACTGTTTCTATTCAGCCTTATTTATTTATTTATTTAGAAAGAGCTCCTTTTGAGGGAAGCATCAACACCTGATCCTCTTGGAAGAAAACCTCTGGGAGGTTTTCCTTTCAGTTTGGTCCAAACTGCTTCCCCCTGCCCCCGTGCAAGATCAGGGATATTCTGGGTTTGTGTAGAGTTGAAGATCCCCAGTTCCAGAGCCTGCTTTATTTCCAAACCACTCATTTCTCAGCTGCAACGAGGCTTTGGGATCTGCATTTTTGCTGAACGTTTTGATTGTAGTGCTTATAAGACCCCCTGTTAAAAAATCACCCAACAAAACATAAAGGCATTACAGTGGAAAAAGGAATACAAATACATTTGCTCTTTTATAAAAGACATTTATCAAAGTCCAATCAGCTGGGATTTTCTGGTACATGGCTGACTTGCAAAATTCCTTTTGGCATCTTTGCATTTTTTGCAATGTAAGGAAGCACCACTTGGATTACTGCAGCTGTAAGAGGATTCCAGTTGACAAGAGAAAAGAATAGGCAATGTGATTTTTTTTCCTTAATTCTTTTTTTGTTACCTATTTCCCTCTCCTAACTTTGTTTCTGTGGTTTTCTCTGTGCAAATGTCAGCCTGCTTTTAGAAGGAGGTCAGGAATAAGGCTGATAAATAAGTATTTGAGCAGGGTACCAGTCCAGTACTCCTTGCAAATAATGGAAAGTCACATATTGGTGAGTTTTGGGACAAATTCTAAAATATCACCGCAGTCTGCTTCCATAGCACTGATTTCCTGGTAATAGCAATAAATTCCTGCTCTGCTTGAAAACCCAAACGAGCCCAAACCCCCCTTGTTTCACTGCCCATCTATTAGTGCAGCAGCAGTTCCCAGAGCTGGTGCATCTCCTCTTGAATTGATTACATAAAAATAGCTCAAAGGAGGATGCTTAGATTAGAAATCCTGATTTGGGTGTTCATTTCTGGTTTGCTGCTGCTGTTCCTCAGCAAACAGCAGTGTGTATCATTGCAACAGGGTGTTGTGAGATGCAGTGTGTAATGTTTAGTTGGCACTGGATTGAAGAGTTCACTTACCTCATATATCGAACACAGCTTAATTAAATATTTAATGGGTTTTTTCCCGCCGAGAGGAATCAGCAGAATAAGTGAGGAGTGTGTTCCTGGAGATGAAAGTTGCAGAGGAAGGTGATCTGTGGGGATCACTGTCCATTCAATAACCTCACGAGCTGCCTTCCCAATTACTGTGCTCCTTCCCTCCCAGTGTGCTCTGGTGGACATTAATATGTATATACATATAAGCAGAAAGGACTTCAAAGTATCACTGGTGGGAAATGTTAAGTTGGGTCCTCTTTGCTGAGCTGGCAGTAAAGTTGTGCTTTGTTCCTCCATTAGTTGGAGGTGAGTGTGGGTTTACAGTGAGAAATGCCCATATATCAGATGGGACAGTCATATTTATCTGTATGACTGTATATATATAACTATAATTCTGTCCCTTCCCCTGCACTTTGCAGGAACCAGAGGTCTAAGGTGCAGCTTTTAAATTCTAGGGGCATTTTCTACAAACAACTTTTTGGATAAGCCCAAAGGGCTCTGAGTTCCACCTTCTTCCTCTGTGTTATTAACATGTTGCACCAGGTTGCTGTGGGGAATTGCCAGTGAACTGGAGGCCCAGGGTTTGTTCAGATGTGTGATCTGTACTCTAAAAAACACTGCAGTGGTTTTTAAACTGCTGTAGAAGCACGGGGAATACGTTCAGTAGGAAGTACCATGTTCTGTTTTCTACTCAAGGCCCAGTGCTTGGCTGGAAAGAATGGTTTTCTTGGTGTTTTTAAGCTAGTCTCATATTTAAAGTGAGGCTAGGGAAATCTTCAAAAGAACCTGATTTTGCTTCTCTGTAAATAGGTAATCCCAGCAGAGATGGGAAACCTCAGAACGGGAAGTTTGGATAATTTGGAAATCCCTGGAGTTGTTTCCTGCTATGGAAGTTGTCAGAGTGAAGCTGCAAGGGACAGGGAGAGATCAGCTGCAATGACAGAGCACTGGTGTCTCTGTGGAAGAGGGGTAAGTGGTGGATAAATAACCAGTGATTCCACAACAGCCCACCTTACTGCAGGCAAAACCTGAATTTTTGGGAGATTTGTTGAGACTGCAGAGTCTATTTACAAAATCCTGCCCTGCCAAGGAAGGAGGTGGGTATAAAAGGCCATCATGGAGCCGTGGGAAAGCCAGAATGAGTGGGTGGGTGATTTAAATATTTTGGATAAATTGAGGTGATTCTAAATGAAAAGTAGAATTGCAAACCATTGGAGATCTGTCCCATGTACTCTTGTCGTAGATTAGTTTTATTTAAGCCCACATATCTTTATAAAAAATGCAATGAGCAATCTCTTTTTCATAAAAAGGGTTTATTAACAAATATCAATAATGCCACTGAAAAGGCAGATTCAGCAGTCTTTGCACAGAAAAAAAATCTCATAGATTCAGAGAAATGATAGAAGAGTGTGGAGGTTTGGATGAAGAAGAGTCCTAGGGAGGAGTTCCAGAAGCTCATGGGAAGTGTCCAGCATCCATCAGGGCAAGGCGTTTTTCTGTGTTGCTGCTTGCAGACAGTGGTGCCTTTCTTCCTGGCATGGTATTGCTTAACTTCCACACCTTTTAAAATTCTTTGCCGAGGATTTATCCTGCCTTAATCTCATTCCAATGCTTGTGCTTCCTAAGTATGTTGTAAGTGCTTAAAGCTCTGTTGGTGTTTTAGGGGAGGACAGAAGTCTCCAGCTTCACCTCTGTAAATACCGTGTCAGTATTTCCACTTTCCCAGGGCTGGGGAAGCAAAGGATGATGCTGCAGGGTGTGCACCTTGTCTCCTTTCCCACCACATTGGCCTTTGCTTTATTTCCACCAGCAATAGTGTTCAGAAGCAGTCGGCCCCTTATTAACTCCCTAATCCCACGTGCACACAGAGCAGATCCAGAATTCCCCAGGGCCGAGCAGGAGCAGGGTTCAAACAGCCCCACAGATGCTGTGGCTGTGTGTCTGTGTTGGACCCCAGCCACCACAAACTGTTATCTCTGCAGAAAACTTGCCAAGCTCTCCACGATAAAATCAAACCATAAAAGTGTTGTAATTAACGATTTCACTCTGACATCTATGGATGCCTCTAAGTCATTGCTTTGGGAATGTTTTCTGCTCAGCTGGAGAGGTGCCTGTTTCCATATTTCATTTTGTCTCTGAGGACCAGCCATCTCCCCCCTTGTTTAACCTTGGGCACTTATGAAGCATGTTCATTTACACCCCCTCACTGACATTAACAATTTGGCCAACCCCTGCAGAAGCAATTTCCCTCTCAGTTTGAGTGGCAGCATCTTTTCCTGGGAGTAATCCGTGACTTGGGCATCCCAGGTTTGTCCTGGAGGAGGGACGTACAACTGTCTGAAGTTTTAAAAAGCCCAATGACTAATCCAAGATGAGCTTTTTTTTCCTCCTCTCCAGATTGTTAATTTGAAAACATTTCTTACAGATTTCCTTTACATTTTCTCATAGTTGGAAATACATGGAATTTTTTTCTCTCCAAAATGTTTGTGGGGTGAGAAAACAGCCTGTTGGTTAGTTGGATTTGTTCCAAGTTGTCTGTTTACTCACCTGTGGTCAAGTCAGGAGCAAAAGGTGAGGATTCTGTCTGTAAATGTTTTGGAAATGAAGGTGTCTGCACTGAAGGACTTTGCTTCTGGCCAGCTTTAGCTGGATGGAATTATCCATAATATCCCTTGTGCACTGGCAGTATCAGTCTGTTAATTTTTCTATATACTGACACTCTGTGAGACTCCATTAGGAAAAGTCCAATATTGTAAAATATTCCTCTGTGAATGCATTGGTGTAATTTATGCTGGGACAGTGACTGCAGGAGTGGCAGTCAGGGTTGGAAAATGAATCCTGTCACGGGGAAAGAGCTGGAGAACATTGCAGGGGAAGCTCTACCCCTTCTCCTGGGGAATCAGCACAACTGGGATCAGACAGCAACCGGTGTGGGTGATGCTGTGTTGGGTGTCAGCTACGGACACACAAATGATGGGTAGAACATCTAGAAGCAACTGTAACTAAAATTACTTGAACTTTTCATTTTTAAACTCCTTCCACTGCCTTCCAATTTGGGAATGACATTTTTCAAGTCTGAACTCTTCTCAAAAGTATTTTTGGAAGGTCTGAACACAAACAGTTTAGCCATCTTTGTGTAAAATGACTGCTAGGAAAGTACTCAGCTCTGACACATTTTTGGCAGGGAGCTATTGAACAGCTTTGGGGCCTTGTTGGAAGTGTCCAAAAGTGTTTTTCAAATCATCATATAATTATTATTGGTTATAATAATGCTCAGAGACCCCGCCCAGCCCTCAGAGACTCTGACCAAGGCAAGCAACAGTGAAAAGCAAGTCCTCAAGGACGTGCAGGAGAACTGTCCAGCAACAACTGGGGCACATTTGCACGTCCAGGGTGAGCAGGACACAGCAGTGACAACGTGACACAGCAGTGACAACGTGACACAGCAGTGACAGTGTCACTGAGCTGGCAAACCACAGTCAGCTGGGGAGGGTTAACTGGGCATGGACCCACACTGCTGCTGGCTTTTGGCACACGGTGGGGAAGAACTGGAAGGACAGGGCCTGCCACCCTCCTTGCCACTGGGCAGAGGCTGCAGCAATCCCAGCACTGCAATCCCCAAGCCCATCTGCCCAGACTCTGTGAATGAGAATGATCTGGGGGAGAAATTTCTGCAGAAATTCAGCTTTAATGTGCCAATGGAAGTGTTTGTTTTGGGGCAGTTGCTGTCCTCACCACTGATGGTGACAGCCCAGGAGCTGGGAAGTATTTGGCATTTGAGCAGTGAGGTGGACTGTCTAAAAGTGAAGTTTTAAGCTTGCCAGGAGCTGGGAATAATTATGTAGCACTTCCCACTCTCGTTTTGATCTCGTTACACAAGCGTGAGCGAACGTGAAATTAGATGCTCTCCTTATGGAAACGTTCCACATTAGTTCCACTTGATACGTTCTTGGTTCCATTATTAGAGCTCCGTTTGTCCCCAACTTCTGAAGTTTGGCTTTGTTGAACTGTTCCCAGTGGCCGTACCTGGTGACTTGCCCTTTCCTGCCGGTGTCCCGAGGACACAAATGTGGAGGTGTTTCCCATTTGTGGGCAACACCGTGTTCCCTGGAGCCATTCATCTCACATTTCCATGGCACCCCATGACCAAAGGCTATGAAATGCTGCTCTGGAGAAACACTGGTGGTGTTGAGGCAAACGGACACTTTTTCCTGAAGCATTTCGATTTAAAAGTTTCTGGTCATTTTTCGGTTAATTGTTTATTTCATGGAAAGAAATTAATTAGAACTTGTAAAAACCTAACATCATATGACCTTTCAACTGAATTAGAAGAAGAAGAAAAGCCTTCATTTATTGCTGCCTTTTCCCCAAGCTGTTCTTTTTTAGTTGCATTTAAATAGAATATATTTGGGCATGAAAGTTGACAGCTCCTTTTTCATGGCCTTTTACTGTATTTTTGCTGTGGCTGGTCAGAGGCTTTTATCTAAAGCTTTGTTCTTTGCGGTGGAAAAAAATTCCAGAGGATTTAAGAGAGTGATAGAGTTTTCAGAGAAAATAAAATTTTCACACAGTACTTGGGGCTGCTCGGGAAATGGGATTTCATGCTGGCAAAGCTCAGCGCTTTGTCGGAGCTCTTGTTGACAGTGGTGGAATTTGGGGTTCATCCCGCAGCTCAGCCAACATTCCCACCCTTCTGTGCTTCCCACTGTGTCACAGGAACTCTTTGGAGTGGGTGTGGTGGGTCCTGAGTGGAGCCTGGGCCTGTGGGAGCAGCTCAGGTGTGATTCCCACCCCAGGACTTCCGCAAGGGAGGAGCTGGGCTGCCCTGGCTGGGTCATCCCGGGACCCGGCTGGATGGAACCATGGGAGGCTGGAGGTACCTGGGAGATGGATCAGCTGAAGGAATGTCTCTGAATGCTGTTTGGGTGGGGAAACCACTTGGTGTGGGGAAGAGGCAAAGCATGGCCCACGATGGAAAGGAGCAGGAGAACTTCTGTTGTGATCAAGAGACAGCTGACAGTCGAAGGAAAGGATTAGCAATAAGAACAAAGGAGCAGTGTTTGATTTAACCATTCTTTGGCAACTCTTAAATTGGACTAAAAGCAGAAAGTAATCCTTGGCTAGTCTGGTCCTGTAGCATTGGCAGGGAAGTGCTGGCTGGGACAGTGAAGTGGGACAGGTAGGGCACAGGTTGTGCAGCTGCCTCTGCAGAGCCAGCCCTGCTCGTGAGGCTACAGCCTAGTGATCTGCCAGTGCTGGCATTAAGTGCTTTAATTTTTCCTCTCAAGAATGAGACATCTTCTTTAATCCCACGTAATTATAAAATTGCAAAGTCGGAGGTAGCAAGGGCCCATTAGGCGAGGCGGCTCCTGTGCCCTCAGGGGATTGTTCAGGGGAACTCGGTGATTGAGAAACGGGGATTCAACCAATTACTCACCTCGTAGTCTCGGTTCATCGCTCCTGCCACTGAGATCCGTCGTGTCATCTTTCTTTGCGAGCAGCATGAACGGATTATCAAGTTTCATTCTCAAATCATCTGCAAGGCAGATTTATGCAGAGCCTTTGTATCTCTAAGCAAATCGGGGAATGTGAGTCTCTCGCTACCACGCGGCCGAGTATTCCTAAGGAAGGGCTATTAATAGCCCGATCCTAGTTCCCGCGGGGCGCTCATCTCATGGCATGCGACCTCCATCTGGAGCGGGGAGCCGCGCCGAGGAGCGGTGCGGGGCTGGGAGTGCGGGAGCCGCGCCGAGGAGCGGGATGCGGCTGTGGGCGCCGAGGCGGTGCCGGCGGGCGGTGATGTAATGCGAGCTGTGGAGAGCCGGCCCGGCGGGCGGACCGCGCTGCTCCGCGGGCGGCTGCGCCGTCCCTGGGTCCCGCCGTGCGGGGCGGTCCCTGAGCGCTCCCTGTGCAGGGTGCGTGCGGGTGCCGCGGTGTCCCGCAGGTGTGTCCCTGAGCGCTCCCCGTGCAGGATGAGTGCGGGTGCCGCGGTGTCCCGCAGGTGTGTCCCCGCTGCGGGGCGGTCCCTGAGCAGCGCTCCGTGCAGGATGCGTGCGGGTGCCGCGGTGTCCCGCAGGTGTGTCCCCGCTGCGGGGCGGTCCCTGAGCGCTCCCCGTGCGGGATGTGTGCCGGTGCCGCGGTGTCCCGCAGGTGTGTCCCCGCTGCGGGGCGGTCCCTGAGTGTTCCCCGTGCGGGATGTGTGCCGGTGCCGCGGTGTCCCGCAGGTGTGTCCCCGCTGCAGGGCGGTCCCGCGGCGCTGGCGGGCGGCGGGCGGCAGGTGGAGCCCGCGATCCGCCCGTGCCCGCTCCCGCACCGCCCCCCCGCACGTGGCGCGGCCCCGCTGAAAAGCCGCGAGCGGCCCCGCGCCCGGCACTGCCGCCCACAGCGCCCGAGCCGCTCCGATCCCTCCCGCTCCCACCGCTCCCGCCGCCACGGGGCGCGGCATCCGCGCCTCGCCGCCCGCCCCGCCGCCCGCAACCCGCGGCCGCTGAGAGCCGGCCCCGCGCATCCCCGGCGCCGCCGCGGGCACCGGCCGCTCGCAGCTGGCGCTGACCTGTTGAAAGAGCCGCGCGTGTCTTGGGGATCCTTTGTCTCGGGGCTTTCTATTTTTTTTTTCCATCTCGACGGGGGAAGTTTGCTCCCCAGACTGTGGCCCGGCTTCCTCCACACCCTTTCCTCCTCGTCTTCCTCCTGTTTTCCAGGATCCGCTGCGCGGGGCCAGAAGCGGTCTCTCCCCCGTAAGCCCCGGCCCCGCGCTGGAGCCGGGGGCACCCGCGGGCTCCGGGCTCGCCCTTTGCCCCGGCGGCGGCGGAGGGGCGGCCCCGGCAGCGCGGGGAGGCTCCGCGGCTGCCCCCGCGCTGCCACCATGGCCAAAGTGGCGGCGGAAAGTTGCGGGTCGGCGCCGGCCGAGGACTTGTCCAAGGTGTCGGACGAGGAGCTGCTCAAGTGGAGCAAGGAGGAGCTGATCCGCAGCCTCCGCCGCGCCGAGGCCGAGAAGATGAGCGCGATGCTGGACCACAGCAACCTCATCCGCGAGGTGAACCGCCGCCTCCAGCTCCACCTCGGCGAGATCCGCGGCTTGAAGGTAGAGCGGGGTGGGCAGGGTGGGACCCCTGAAGTTTGTGCCGTGTCGCCGCGGCCCCCGCCCGTCCCGCCGGGAGCGGTCTCGTCAGGTGGATGGTCCGGGAGGAGCCGCTCCCGGGAACCGCAGGAAAAGTAGGCGAGGGCTGGAGTGAATAGCCTTTGATGCTGCTTAAAAATCGAGTGTCCGGCTAAGAGATGAGCAGCTGTTCACCAGGATGTGCAGCACAGCTGGGGTGTGCTCTGCCCCAGTGTTCTTTGGTTTGGTACAAGCACTAAAGTCTGGTCACCTCTGTGTTAGACTCCACTGGCGTGGAGTTCGATGATCCTGCCTGAAGTGCACGAGAAATAAGGGTGTGCAGAGCTGGAGATGTTCAAAAGGTTTTTTGTCCCTAGTTTCAGCTGCCCTAGCCTGTCAGGCAGGCAGGCTGCTGGAGGGAGTGGGTCATTTCCAGGATGCAGTGCAGGGGATGGCAGGTGATGGCAAACCCTTGGGCTCCGTTTTGGGGTGACCAGAACCAATCCCTAGTTTGTTGTCTGAAAAAGGCACCTGCTAATGCATCTCTGACTAACCATTTTCAATTGTATCTTTGTGCAGGCTGCACATCACAAGTCAGACCAGGTCTGTAATGGCTTATCCCTTCTAAATTTCACTCCTTGGTTGGGTGAGAAGCTTAGTCCCTAATGTTTCCTTTCCCCTTCTGAGGATTGGGAAGATAGTGTGACTGCTTACAGAGGATTACCTTGCTTGTGCATTGTAGCCCTGGAAAGTTACCTTAAAGCTGGCAGGACCACAGAACATTGTCTGTCTTGTTGCTTTTGAGAAAGGACACTGTTTTTAGGGAATTCTTTCAGTGAGATTGGAGGGAAGGAGAGGACAGACAGATGCAGTGTGGGCTTTTGAATTATTACACGGAAGTGCATTAGAAGAGAGTTCTTCACTTGTAGAATGGCTTTAAATGATGGAATTACTGAGAAAGTGTCTTTGATCATAATGTGGCATAAAATAAACAGCATATGGTGGAAGACTCTTCCTGTCTCCCAAGTTTTTGTGTTCTACAGAGTATGGGGAGGTGTGTCTCTTCCCTCTTTTTGACCATCCATGGTGTCTGGGGGTAAAAAAGACCCATCCATGATAGTATTTAGTAAGATAGTATTTAGGTTTCAAATGTAAGTTCAATTACAACAATAGTGTCTTTCTCCCAGTGCTGTGACATCATATGGATTTCTGCATCCTCCAGATAACTGACCAAACACACCAAGATGTGTAGGAAGCAGTGACACATTCCCCTCTCAATTCTGAACTCCTTAAGTCATATTTGACTTCCTCCCTTTGTTCAGATGCCCCATCTGGAACATTTCAACAGAATCTGGGAGAAGGAGGTTGTGAGCCCTGTGCTGGTGTCTGGACATCTCCCTCCTTTGTTGTGTGTGAAATACCAGGTCCCTGAGTCAGAATGCCCAGCTGGGAGGCTGCCTTCTGGCTGAGGAATTCTGCACTTCCACAACTTTTTTATTCCACCCTGGGATCACTTCAAACATCTCTCACCAGCAGAGATTTTTTAAGGACACCTTGTAGCCTTTTTTTCATTGTCAAATACAGGTTGAAATGGGTCAAGTTCAGAGTTATTCTGAGGCAAAGATCAGACAAACCCAGGCATTCCTGCATCCAAATCCAGTGGGGTTACAAAAGCTTCCTTTTGTTGGGAAAATGGCCTTTCCATAAGGCCAAGCCTTTAACAATTGTGGCTAATCTCTATTTGTGATATCATGCATAAGAAGGAATGAATATGGAGCTGTGGGAAAGAGAAATACGGTCACAAGTCCAAACTAGGAGGGCAAAATACTGCAAATGTTTTCTTTGGCATTATTCTGCTATAGTAACACCCTGAACATTTTTCTTCAGAGCATTTGCTTCAGACTGTTCCTCGCTCAGAGAAGGGCATGGAATCATGTGCTGCATTTTATTAGGAGGGAAAAATCTATTAGAGCAGATTATTTAATTTCAGAGTGGCTGAAGCAATCCTGATAAAGTGATGTCTGACAAGGGTTTTTAATGCAAATCTGGAACAACATCAAACAACCCCCTTTTTTTTTTAATCTCTAAAATGTTCATCTTTATATGTGACTATGCTTTGGGGAATAGGGAGTCTAGATATGTAATAATTAATTATTTAAATGAGAGTAAGAGTTCTGATGTACCTCGCAGTTTTATTCAGGTGAATATTTCTCAGGGGAGCGAGATCATCAGGAGAGCACTTACGATCTTTGCCCAGGTTGGGAGCTAAATTAATCTGATATTTAGCATGAAAATTAATTAAGCACCTGAAACTTTTATGCTGTGTCAGAAGTTAGTCTTTGAACACCTCAGACTAGCTCCAGGTCAACTTTGGCTGGACAGCAGCACTGTGCTGTTACAACGTGCCAGATCTACACAAGCAATTATTTCTGCCTCGCTCGAGTGCTTAAATATGATTTTGTGGCTTCTGTAAGGGTGATTGTATAACACCAATTCCTTCAGACACTTCTCTGCCATGATAATCTTTCTCTTGAAGGATATCAACCAGAAGCTGCAAGAGGATAACCAGGAGCTGAGGGACCTGTGCTGCTTCCTGGACGACGACCGACAGAAGGGCAAGAAGGTGTCCCGGGAGTGGCAGCGGCTGGGCAGGTACAGCGCCAGCGTGATGCACAAAGAGGTGGCCCTGTACCTGCAGAAGCTGAAGGAACTGGAGGTGAGACAGGAAGAAGTGGTTAAGGAGAACCTGGAGCTGAAGGAGCTGTGCGTGCTGCTGGATGAGGAGAAGGGTGGCGGGGCCGGGAGCCGGAGCTCCATCGACAGCCAGCTCAGCCTGTGCCAGCTGACGGCGCCCAGCGCCTACATCCGAGACGTGGGGGACGGCAGCAGCACCTCCAGCACGGGCAGCACCGACAGCCCCGACCACCACAAACACCACCCCAGCACCAGCCCCGAGCACCTGCACAAGGCTCGGGGGGAAGGCAGCCCCGAGCACCAGAAGCACCGGAGCATCAGCCCCGAGCACCTGCAGAAGCCCCGCGGCTCCGGCAGCCCCGACCACCACCTGAAAGGGCCCAGCCCCGAGCACCACAAAGCCGTGGTCAAAGTCCCCGACCCACAAAAGCACAGCAGCAGCAGCCCAGAAACTATCCCAAAGCACGTGCTGAGCAGTAGCCCCGAACACTTTCAAAAGCAGAGGCCTGGTGGCAGCCCTGAGCACCAAAAGCACAGCGGTGGCAGCCCGGACCACCTGCAGAAGCACACGCCGAGCGGGAGTACAGAACACCTGCACAAGGTGAGGGGCACCAGCCCAGAGCACCTCAAACAGCACTATGGAGGCAGCCCCGAGCACCTCAAACACCTCAGCGGAGGCAGCAGGGAAGGGACCCTCAGGAGACAAGTGACAGAGGACCTGTCCCCTCACCACAGGAGTATTTACAACGGAATGAATGGTGGGTCAATGCTTCCAGTGAAAGCTCTCTTTGAAAATTCCTCAGGTAGTTCCAGTGCTATTTCAGGAGGAGGAGCGATGAAATGTTTCATTTCATTGATGTGAAACGAAAGGTAACGAGCCTGGTGTCAGCATTGTTCCTTTAGCAAGTGATTTAATTGGAGTAGTCCTGTTTGTCCATCCAGCACGTGTTGGGTAGATTAAAAAAGCAGGGGGAAAGTGCATTTTGAGTGCTAGTGCAAGACACCGAGGAGCAGCTCCTGGCCCCAGCCCTGCTCTGTGGTTGGTAGATGTAAACTGTTTGTCCCCAGATGGGTTTCTGTTTGCATCAGGGAGGAATTGCATTATGTTCCGTGTCCTGCCTGTGTCTGAGTCAGCAGAGTGGAGCTGAATGTCTCCAGTTTCCTTTCCACCTTCCTCTAGCTTTAAAGATTTTAGAATTTCCTGTCTATTGATTGAAGGCTTCTTATATCCTTTCCCATAAGCTTTGGAGAAGACCCCAGGTGAAGAGTAGGGTCAATAGAAATGAATCTGATAGCTCCTAAAGCTTTTCAAAGCCTGGCGTTTGCATATTTTTAACTATAGCAAATTAAAAATTAAGGAAGATCTGAGGGGGTTTCTTTGCTGTTGTTATTGCTGCCTTTTAGAAAGTTTTCCAATAAACATGCCAAGCTTTTAAGAGCTGTGTATCCTCACTGATTGGGATTAATTTCTATTCTTAGGATAGTCACAAAGTAACTATTTTGTTATTCTGAAAGTCAAATGGTTACAAAGTTCAGTGCTGTAGAAACAGCTCTTTGTAGACTTAGCAGAATTTCTGTAGCCTGCTCCTTTTGTTTCCTCCATATGCTTTGAGATGTTTCCATGAAGGAAATTAGTGTCCTAGTGGAAAACTCTTCTCCCAGACCCGAAGTGGTAAGTGTAGAGACTTCTCTCTTTGATTGTAAAATGATTAATAAGGTGAGTGTGTGACAAGGCTGAAGTCAGCCTTACACAACTTCCATGAAATACTGTATTCCTTCTCCATTTTCTGTTTAAAGCTGACCTCACTGTAAGCATGAAGTGTGGAACCAGACTTCCTAAAAGCACCACGATGTTCCTCAGTCCATCACCGAGCCAGTAGAAAGGTGATCTAAGGTTTTAAGTCTGTATTTTTCAAACCCACACCCAGGTGAAGATACAGTTTTTCTGCTCCCAGCACGGTGGGTTTTTGGATTTTTCTGTTGTCCAAGTACCTTGTCAAGGCCCGTGTTGCCAACAGTGCAGTGAGAGCAGTTGTTACTTTAATCCTGAGCTGACTGGCATCCTTTGTGCAGCATATTTCATCTGTCTACAGTTTGGACTCAGGCCACAAGGTGCTGGAGAGGGCAGCTGCTGCTCTGGGAGGCTGTTTATTGACTTTAATCACAGCTCTGCCTGTCCTACACTTTATATAATCACTTTTACAGCAAGTCCTCTTTGGTTTGACAACTCCTCTCACCAGTAACTTGTCAAACTTCTCTTTTTCCATATTTATATAATCTGATGCAAACTTGAGGTTTAATTCTGGCATTCATCTGACCTTGGTCAGTGGTAAAGCTCTTGACAGCTCTGCTGTGAGGAGGAGGCTTTCAACTTCAGGGAAACACTTGGTCTTCACAGCAAGGCTGAATCCTCCTGGGTGTTTGGGGGTTTGATTTTGTGGGGAGCAGGTAAGATGGAAGTGGTCCAAGTGCTGGCCATTAGCACTTGCTATTGCTGTGCAAGAAATGTGTAAATCTTAATTTGCGTGTTCTGTGTCTGCCTGAACCTGCCAGCTGAGTGTAGGGGATGGAAATCCTGAACTTCTGCATCCGTGGTGAGGAATGGGGAAACTGTGACAACCTGAGGCAGAAAGTGGCCTGGAAACGAGACCCTCAACTCTGATGAGAAATACAAAAGGCCCATATTTTGGGTTCTTATCCCAAATCATATAAGTAAGCATTCAATGTCCCCTTGGACCCTAGTTTGTTTTAAAATTTGGAGTGTATCTAGCCAGGAGATGTTTGACTGCCCATCTGTGTGATGAGTTTGCAGGGCACTTCCAACCTTACTGTGGTACCTGAGGAGTGTTGTTGAGCAGCAGGAGTGAAGTGTTGGTGACCCTGAGTGACAAACAGCAAACACAAACTCTTTTTGAATAAAACAATATATTTTAACTCTGCAACCAGAATTTCCAGGCTCAGGACAAGCCTGTGCCACGTCCCTTGGCCTGAGCTGGCCTCTCTTGGTGCCCGCACAGGTTCTGTGGTGCTGTGTCCCCTCTGCCTGGCTCTGCACTGTCCCCAGAGGTGTGAGGGGTGCATTAGGGTGTTGGCAGGGTTCTGACAGCTCCTCAGCTCAGCCCCAGCAGTTGCAGCCCAGCGTTGCAGGAACAGGATGTGCAGCTTTGCAGGATGTGCTCATGCATTAGTCATTTGGGCCTCATGCATGTTTTAAGCTGTCACGAGGTGTGCGGGAAGTTACCTCAGCCTTCGGTCCACAGGCACAGCTGAAGGGATGAGGGATGAGGTGATAACGTTTCCTTTCATAATTCTGCTCATTTTCCCTGCTCAAAGGTTTGATCTTGGTATTTTTTTCTTGTATGACATGTCAGCTTTCATTTATAAGATTTATAAGGCTTTTAAAAAATCCTGCCTCGTGGTTCTCCTCCATATTTTTCTCAGATAGGTGTCCTCAGCCTTTGGAGTGACAGAAAATGGGATGGGAGAGCTAAATTTGATGGCTGTTAATTGGAAACACCTGTATTTAATTTTTAAGGCCTTAACCAAATAAAACACGATAACGATCTTTTGCTGTAATCACACCTCAATGTTCTGGGTAATGAGAACAGAGATGTTTGGGATAGAAAGATTGCTGAAATTAGAAGGGAAAATGCCAGAAGTAAAAACATTTCGAAGAGAATTTTAATGCAACCTAGAAGAATACACGACAATTTAACTCTGACAGATATTTAGGGTGGAAGTGCCTCTATGTAAATTGATCTGCTTTCAGCATTTGCAACCCTAGTGCTGTTTTTTTTTAGTCTAAGCAATTTATTCTCAACTTTCTATTTTAAGAAGTCCTTTGTTTTACTCTGAGCTTTGACTTTTGTGTGAAAGGCAAGTATCCAAAGGGTTTCACATGTGCCTCTTGCTTCCTGCTGAGGCTGTTAATGAAGAGAAGTAAAAGTGCTGACTAACACCTCTCATACTGCTGGAGGTGTGAGGGCTCTCACAGAACAAATGCAACCTCACCTCTCCTTGAGCAAAGGTGCTTGTAGGCTAAATAGAGACTCTGCCTAAACTTTGGGCACTTTCTGTTATAAATGTGCTTCTTAGAAGGAAAACAAGATCGGAAAATGCTGCACTGAGCGAAGAGAGGAAACTGCAGGATGACTTCAGAGAGGAAAACCTCATAACCATGTTACTGAGGCAACTGATATCCTCTGGTGGAAACAGCATTTGCTGCCCGAAGAGGGGGATGATGTCATGTTTCAGTGCAGGTTTGCTCAGTTGTGTTTCTTAAAGTTGAAATGGAGATAATTTCCCTGTCCTCAATAGCGGTGTACAGCACTTTGTGTGTGATCTGCCTTTCCTGGTGGCCCCCAGCACTGCACCTCTGGGAGCCTGAGCAGCGTTTTGGACTCTTAGGAGCATAAACAAAGGCTGCGGGATCCACTGAGTTCTCCCTTTGCCAGGATGAAGTAACCTACTGTTTATTTCAGATATTTATTTTTTTAAGCCTGGAGCTCTAAACATTTACGTCTATCAAGTCTTCCCGTTGAATTCCGTAGGTTTTATGCCAAACTTGTAAATTGGTTTTAGCTCTTCCACACTGTGAGAGAACTGGGGCATGAGATGTGAATACGTGTGGGACTAGAACACGTTGCATTTGTTGCTGAGGAGGAATTTATCAAGTTGTGGCCGTGCCTGCACAAACACTGCAAGGCAGAGCTGGTTCCCGTCCTCTGGCTTTGGTGCCACCGCTGGGCTGGAGCCGGTGCACTGATTTTTATTGTGTCTTGTTTATCTCATTGCAAGGCTTTTAAAAAATAATGCCTTTTCGGAGCGGCGAGTGGGCGTTTGTTTTGGTTTGTGCAGGAGACAATAGACGCTCATTTATTTTTCATGGTGCTTGGGTCAAGAGTTAAGCCATTTGCCTTTACCTCAGAGAGCTTATCAGGAGTTCGGGTAGCTGCTGTTGTCTGCCTGAAATATGTGGGCAGATGTGGATGTTATTTTATTTTCCTTAGTGCCAGAATGGCGAGTGCTCAACATTAAAGCCTTGTCTGAGCCCCTGCTGAGGCAGCACCTCTGACCCGAGCTCAGGACCCGGTGTAACAATCCTTCTCCTGGCTTTGGAGTTACACTGTTATTATTTGGTAATAGTAAATTACGGGTTTGGAAGGATCAGTGATTAAATTGTCAACTTCTCTGAACTCTGGCACTTCTAATGCAGAGTCAGAATACTATAATAACTTTTGGTAAGTGCTGCTTGTTGAAGAAATTCAGCCTTGTGGTGTGCATTGTGTGTCAAAGTGTCCTGTCCCTTCAGTTCTATCTGTTCATGGGATCTTTTTTCAGTGTGTGTATTTTATTGTGAAGTTCTCAATGGAGAATTGTTGCAGGCTGTGCACAGATTGGAGCTGAGCTGGTTGATGGTCAGTGCAGTGTGGGGTTCAAATTTGGTGCTGCTCCTCACACACAGTTCATGGATGTTGACAGGAGCAGAGGACAGCGAGGCATTCCAAATTATAGGGTATTTAGTGGGCTGTAATAAAGCTTTGTGTACGCAAGAAAATGACTCTGGCAGCGAAAATTCATTGGCTTCTGAGCTAGTAAGTCATGTCTTAATTAGTAAACCAAGGCACAGCTTGTCTTAGGTCAGGCTGTCGTGTGCACAGATATATAGTTACTGAGAGGGCAGTGAGAATTATCAGCAAGGCAGGATCTGGATATAAATCGTGTCTCTTTGTGCTTCTTGACTGGTTAAAGGGTGGTC